GTGATAAGAGGGAATTGAAGTTGCCAGAAGCTTGGGTGAAAGTGACCATGTCATACTGGAATTCAATATAATGCAAGCACAGGCAATAGAAAATAATCCAACCAGTGTTTTAAACTTCAAAAGAGCTGATTTTAACAAACTCAGAGAGAACTTAGGAAAGATTTCATGGATAAAAATCCTGAAGGGGAAAACAACTCAAGATGCATGGGAAACTCTGAAAAATGCAATCATAAAAGCCCAGTCCAGTACAATACCACTGAAAAAGAAAAACAAGAAACTCAGGAAGAAACCAGCATGGCTGCAAAGAGATCTCTCTGACAAACTGAATGATCAAAAGGACAAGTAAAAAAATGGAAAGAGGGACACATAACTAAGGCTGATTATCAGCAGACAGCCAGAACTTGCAAAAATGAAGTCAGGAAAGCAATGGCTCAGAATGAACAAAGACTTACAACAGAAATTAAAGTTTCTTTCAACATATTAATAACAAGAAAAAGGTCAAGGAAACTGTAGGTTCACTAAAGAGAGATGGCCAGGAAATAACAGGCAGTAGGCAGAAAGCAGAGCTGCTTAACTCATTCTTTTCATCAGTCCTCACACAAAAAGAAATTATAGCCCAACATACCCAAAAAACTACTGCAAAAGACAAATTAGAAACAAAAATTAAAATAAGCAAGAAAATGGTAAGAGAACGCCTATCCAACCTTGATAAACCGAGACCTGACAGATTACATCCCAGAGTTCTGAAGGAGTTGGCAGATGTTATCTCAGAACGATTGTACCATATCTTTCAAAAATCCTAGAGCATGGGGAAGTAGAAGGGGAACTCATCAAATTTGCAGATGACACTAAACTGGCAAGAATAGCCAACATCCCAGAAGACAAACTCAGGATCCAAAAAGATCTTGACAAAAGTTGAACAATGGGCCCTATCTGACAGAATGAGTTTTAATGTGGAGAAAAGCAAAGTTTTATTTTTTTATAAGTGTTTTATTCATTTTCTATTATTAGAAATCATAAGTGCTTAGTAAACAACATGATGTCCGGGTACATTTGTTGCCCAATGTTGCATCTTAACTTCTTCAATATAAATCTGTTCAGTGCTACACAATCCAGTGTTTTTTTCCCCTGGTCCTCTCTTCTTCCCATAGTGTTTTCATTTTTCCAATATTGAACAAATACAATTCTTACTACTATTAATACTTACAAAATCAGATATACACACCCTCTTCATATTTTTCTAGTGTTATACAAATAACAATGGTATCAGTTTATAACCTCTTTTCTAACCACTTTATATTTGAATTGTATTTGCAATTAAAGTCTCATTAAATCAATATCCTGTTTTTCAAGCTCTTATCTAAGTTTGATTTCTCATCAGTATTCAGTTTGTCAGTTATGATTTTCTCAAAATTAGTTACATTTGTGTAACTGAAAATTTCATTTATACAAACCATCCTAGTGTTTCTATAATTCCCATATCAAAAGAAAAGGTGCTATTCTAATTATAAATCATATCTTTCTTATTATAAAAATCTGTTTATATCTGTGGTTTATCTATTCCAGTGGTTCTCAACCTTTCTAATGCCGCGACCCCATAATACAGTTCCCCATGTTGTGGTGACCCCCAACCACTTATACATCACCGGGTGCCAGGGGCGTGGCCAAAGAAAAGGGGGGAAAATGGCGGACAGCCTTGTTTGGTGATCCCCGTGAAATGGTTGTTCGACCCCAAATGGGGTCCCGACCCACAGGTTGAGAACCACTGATCTATTCTTTTGACCATATTCAAACAAATATTGGATCATACCATCTGGTATGTCAAATCTTCTGTTTTTTGAGTCTAACTCTAGTTTTCTTCCTTTGCCAATTGGCTTTCCAGGCCAAAGTAATTAAATCACCAAAAAATTCTTCCTCTGTTTTTGTGAATATTGCTTGAAATGGGAAAAACAATTTAAGTAGGGTATTTTTTAGGGTGAATTCCACCCCATTGTATTCATTAAACAGCTCCCACTTTCCTTTTCCCTCAGGTTCTCTTTTCAATTTTGTCTCCCAATTTCTGGCATTTCCCCTAACAGCTTTATAATCCCCTTTTTAAAATCTTCTTCCTTATCCTCAGGTATATTTTGAAAACCTAAAAAATAGGGTGCCTTTTCGATTTCCATTGTTGTAACTAAGTCTTGCAGATTTTTATTTGTCTATGCCAGTTTATGTTTCCCTTCTTTTATATCTTGCGTCTTTGGATCAATTTCCTCTGATTCATTTTCTGTTTTCTGACATTTGTTCATTCTTTGTAGTCGTTTTCTGGGAACTTTCTAGTTGTGAGTTTAAGTTAGAAATTTGCTCATTTATATTATCAAAATTGTTTTTAATCTCATCATGGTTCTTCTTGCTTCTTCTTTATGTGAAATAATTGTCTCCTGAATTAATTGTAGCATCGAATGTATTTCCTTCAGGAAAATATTTACTACTTCTTGAGGTGTTATTCCTGCAGATCCCTGGTAAACCTGGCTGGAGGCTTCAGATGGGAGTATTAAGTATGTTTTCCTACCATTTTTGGTTAGCTATAAAGGATCCATTTTATTTTCCCCCTCCAGATATTCTGTTAGAACTGTTGTGTCTAATACCACCAATCTTAATGTCCATAAAACAAAGTCTCATCTAGTTCTTCTGGTCTTTATATGTAGCCTTTATAATGTAATAGGTTCCAGGATACAAGCCCACTACTGAAAGCAATATTTTGTAATAATCCTTCTGCTAAGGCGTCCAGAAATTGTCAGTCAGCCAAAGTTTACAATCCAAAATGTTCAAAGTATTCAAAATGTTCAACCACCCTAAGAACAATCCAAAAACCTCCCCCAGACAAACATAGCCAGAAGTCAAATTTTTCTTTCTCTCCAAATAGTTCTTAAGATTAAAAGTCAGAGCTCAGTATATGTAGTAAGCATATGTAGTAAATATGCCAAAATATTTTTCTCTGTTGCCAGCTGTTCTCTGTTGAATTAAAAGTCACCAAACAACATCGGATGTTCTTGCTTGACACTAGGTTGTTATCTATTTCTAAGCTTCTTGCAAGGTCTGCATCAGTCATTGCAGCTATGGTGCTATACTCTAATCCACCACTAAATGTAATTCAATATCCATTTTCCAACTCTTAAAACAGAGGGTTAATTTCTTGTATTTCACCCCAGTATTCTTTCGAAGAGAAAATCTTAATAATGTTCTCAGTTCTTAAATTCATCAAAACTATAGCTTGATATTGCTTCCACTTCAGTGTTAAATCTTTCTGCCCCCCCCCCCATAAAAAAGTTAAAACGCCACTTCCATTTCTCTGGAAGGGTGGGGCTGCAATCCCCTTCCTTCTCATGTTTGGAGGTTTTTAGCTTCTTGGGAGCCTTTTCCAGGAAATCCAGTTATAAAATTGTAAAGAAAGGATTAATATTCTCACCCAGTTCCAAACATGCTGTTTATGGTCTGTTAATTAGTGCTTTCTTCGATTGTCAGTAGCTGGAGGCTGGCCACAGGAATGCAGCCAGCCTTTCCCCTGCCAGGATCAAACGGATTGACCGCCATCTCTGTGTGATCAATGAGGTACCCCTCCTTCCTTATCATCTCTCTGGGACAATTTTAGGCCCTTTAAGGGCCCCCAAGCAGGGCAAAATTGAGCACGAAAGCAGAACCTTGTCCTCCTGTGTCCGTGTCTATACGACGCCAAATCAGAAGTCGAGAAAAGCAAAGTTTTACATTTCGGTAGGAAAAATCAAAGGTATAAATACAGATTAGGTGAGACTTGGCTCAAAAACAGTAACTATGAGAGGGACCTTGGAGTCATAGTGGATTATCACTTGAATACAGTATGAGCCAGCAGTGTGCAACCACCGCCAAAAGAGCTAATACAATCCTGGGTTGTATAAACAGAGGCATCGAATCAAGATCACACAAAGTATTAGCACCGCTTTATAAAATCCAAGTAAGACCACACCTGCATTACTACAACCAATTTTGGTCACCATACTACAAAAAAGATGTTGAGACCTTGGAAAAAGTTCAGAGAAGAGCAACTAAGATGATCAAAGGCCTGGAGACTAAAACATATGAAGAATGGCTGCAGGAATTGGGTTTGGCTAGTCTAAAGAAAAGAAGAAATAGGGGTGACATGATAGCAATATTCTAGTATCTCAGGGGCTGCCACAAAGAAGAGGGGGTCAAATTATTCTCCAAAGCACCAGAGGGCAGGACAAGAAACAATGGTTGGAAACTGATCAAAGAGAGAAGCAACCTAGAATTAAGGAGAAACTTCCTAACAGTGAGGACTGGTTAATTAACCAGTGGAATAGCTTGCCTTCAGAAATCATGGGTGCTCCATCAGTGGAGATTTTACAGAAGCGATTGGACAATCACCTGTCTGAAATGGTACAGGTTCTCCTGCTTGAGGGGGGGGGCGACTGGACTAGAAGACCTCCATGGTCCCTTCCAGCTCTATTATGTTCTATTCTATTCTATTCTATATTACATATTTTACAAATTGATCTCTTTTTCCATTACTTTTTTAGTTTGCTTAAAAATTAAAAAATTCTAAAAGAAATTTTAGAATGGATGCTACACAGAAAAAGGTCAAAACCTGTTCTCAGCATATAGAATGTGGAATAATGAATTTAAATTACAGGAAGGACAATTCTAACTTTATTAGAATATTAGCAAATTATTCTGGAAAAAAACCCGACCAGTACAATGTGTCCTGTTATTGGATGTCTTTATATCGAGTCTAATCAGCCATCTGCTTTAAATTTCTTTATTTCAGTAATTCCTTCACTGAGTAAGTTGGACTTGATCATCTACAATATATCTTTTTTTTTTTCAATTTTATGTTTCTATGATAGTTACAAGGAAATTACTGTGTAGATATATTTTCCCAGCTGTAAGTGTTAGCTACTTATGTTGTTGCATTATATATGTATGAATGAATGTTTTTTCTTCCCTTTTCTTGTTTCTTTTTACAGATCTCCGACCTTTGCCTGATGTAGCCTTGACAGGGACCTGTACTCGAGAATGCACAGAATTTGGTCACTCTGATACCTGCTGGATGCCAGGTCAGTCCTCTCCAAACCGGCGGCCCAAGAATGCCCTCAAATTCTCCACATTTGTGCCTTATCAAGACAGAGGGAGTCAAGAACAAGTTGGGAATGGAAGCCCCAGACTCTCAGAAGAGCGCAACACCAAAATGGCTAACCTCCGCCTGCTCCCCACATACAGTGCCTTCTCCAACAGTAGCCATGAGCCCTGCAAGAATTCCCCCATGGAGGAAATCCCTCTCACCCAGACCTCAGACTTCCAGACAGCCACCACACCATCATCCCAAACTGCCAAACGAGAGATCTACCTGTGAGAATGAGGAGGCCATATAAAGTATCTGAAAACAATGCTGAGACCAGTGTCTAGTGCTCCAGTATGAAGTGACTTTTCAAACTGTGATTCTTTATCACTCAGTTTGGCAGTTCTGTGCCTGCCAGATAAGACTGCCTTGCCCAGTCATTGGGCATGGAAACATTTCATTCATTGATTCCTCACTGGGCAAGGGAACTGACACCACCAGAATAGCCAAGCTCTCCGTAGAGTGGTCCATGGATATCTGGAAAGAGAGAGAAAGGAATATAGTGAAGAGGGCTTGGCTTCTTTGTTTCAGGACTGGGGTGGGTGGGTAATGGCTTAGTTACCAAAGGTCCACGCAGATTTGGTGGAGTCCATTGGGCACAGGGCTGAGAGCACTTGGTGCAGGTGCAGGGGGAAAAGCTGCCTCTCTTGTTACTATAGACTCCTGTAAATATGAATTTTAAGAATGACATTTATGTCTTGCCTGATTGAGTTTTATTTGTCCTTGGAACAAAAAGATATTGAAGCAAACAACACCACAGGGAGAAATTTTCAGCTTGAATATTTCACCACACAGAAGAGCACATTGGGGCAAACACTTCCAACCAGCCCACCCTTTACTTCCACAGTGTAAATAAGGATGAAGCATCAGTTGGGAGAGGGGCATTCTGGCTGGTCAGCAGGACTGAGTAGGAAGGACATAACAGAGTTTTAAAATCTTAATCACTTTTCAGACTTCAGAAACTCTATCAGGTATGGAGGAGCCCTATAGCTAGTAGTCATAGCTTTTAGCTGTCCTCCTTTGCCCCTACCCCATAGATAATGAGCCGCAGTAGTAAAAAAAAAGTGAAAGAAACTTTAGTTTTTCAGGTGGTAGAATATCTAACTGCCCAAGATTACTCCACTGCCTCATGTGTGAGGCAGAGAATTTCCATGGGGTCATTAGACCCCAGTGCCATGATTCTGGCCTTTGATTTGTCTGCCTGTAAGCCACCATTGCCTTTGTGAAATGGAGCTTGGACTCAGGGTCACACTTGGGCCCATGGGCCTCTGTATGCTGGAGTCACATACCCCCTCCCTATGCCTTTAGACAGCCTCAAGGGCTCCAATATTCTCTTCCAGTGCCACATGTTTAGCCACATAGTATTTGACTGCTGGAGCCTGTCATAGTTTCACTAGGGGCCCATAAAAACAGTGCAACTATTCATGGGCATTATTATCCCCAACCACTGATGCCGTCATTTGGGATCACTCAGAAGACCAGCTCTGAATTTATAAGAGAGCACTCTTCCTCCAGCAAGCAGTGGGCTGCTTTGGTGATTAAGTTCTTAAATCCCTCAGTATTCTAGTCTTAGGCCTGATTCCAGATAGTATAGTATTAATGGCAATCACTTGCCAGCTAGTAATTATAGGACTTTTCCAGTACATATGGTAATGAAATACAGTCTCCAAATTGGGGCTCTATCCACCAGACTAGCTGACATTTTTTGGACCCATCTTGTTTCTCTTGGCTTAATTCTTCTGGTTCCAACAGGCCCAACTTTCTTCCCACACATTGCCATGTGTTTTTCTAAGCTGTATTGCAGAAGATGGGCTGGATGTCCTTCTTTGCTGTCTCTCTGTTCAACTTTCTCAACTGCATGTGTCTCAGAAGGAAAGGAAACAAACATGATATGTTTTGTAAAACTATTGTGTGGGTATGTGGATACGTGCTTTACAGGACTGATCATTTGGAGATAGGTTGGTTATCAAACTAGTAAACTGGTAAAATCAACATAGAGCAATTTTCATTTTCTTCTGATTGTCAGAGATAATTTCTAGGATAATATGAAATTTTAGTGTCTCCCTGCATTCTCTGTCCTCTAATGAGCAGACTGCTGATCGCCTTCTAACCATACATAGTGGTAGTGGGAAGCATTCCAGAAAAAAAATCCAGTGACTCTACTCATATAGTAAGCTACTACATGCCATGGGTGATTAAGTGTCTGAATTCTAGTATTGGAGTCCCAGGTTTGAGATCACTGGCAAGTTCCAGTGTGTATAAAAACCAAGGACTTCCTCTCTTCTACCCCTATACTTTTTAAGGCTCAGGGCTATGTCAGCAGCAATCCATAGGATGGAGAGCAGGAATATAGCACTTCCTATCCACTCTTGTATCAAGAGCCTAAGGTTAAAGTGATCATGTGTGATGAAAGCAGGAAAAAATTCTGAAATAGTTTGTTGATTTTTAACTTAATATGATATGTGAACCCACATATTATAGCTTAGCAAACCAGGCCGCTTTGGCTTGTGCTTCAATTCTTGGTTAAAAATCTGTCTGGACTGTATGTGTAAATATAGTTACTGAGGTAAATAAATAAAAGCATAAATAAACACTGTCCGAGGAGGTCTCCAGCTATCCACCATACCCAGATTTTTTCAAGTGCAACTGTATGGTATGGAAAGGACAGACCTTTCTTATTCTATTCTATTCTATTCTATTCTATTCTATTCTATTCTATTCTATTCTATTCTATTCTATTCTATTCTATTCTATTCTATTCTATTCTGTGAAAGGAATAGATGGGAGCCAAATCACTAATGAAGGAATACCTGTGTTGCTCAGGTAAGGTTATCCTCTTTTAGGCTTATCGATCAAAATATAACAGAAGGCAATCTAATTTCTAGTCCATCCCTTGTAGATGGGAATTATAAAACTGACCTCATCCCAGAATTGCTTCTGTATTTGGATATGCTTGCTATAGGCCCATTGGAACAAATAAGCTTGCTTTTTGGTAATAAGCCAAGGCTGATAACATGAACGTGGAGAGTTCTTCATCTCTTTTCCTTTGGTTTTGTGAGAGATATGAAATAAAAAAGACTGGCTATTCAGGGAAAGGGATTGAAAAACAGTATTGCCTGGCCTCCCAAACATAACCAAGACTTTGAAATGTGTTTTGTGTGAGGCAAAAAGGAAGATGGCACCAGTAGTAATTGAAATATATTTTTGATGAATATAGTTATAAAATATAAAGGTGCCCTAAGAGTGTAAGTGGTTGATAATCCAATGGTCAAAATACCTTTAGGAGACACTCATCTTCACAATTTCAAACCAAGAAATACATGCCTCGGAAAAGAGATGGAGAAGGTTAGGAAGAAGACCATTCCATGATTTCTGGTCTAGACAAGCACATTCAATGGCAAGGAGAAGAACTTTGAGCACTACTTTAGGACAAGCCAGGGGTAATACCAAAGGTGTAAGGCCAGACACAGGTCAGCTGAGTGAGATGGAACAAAGCTACCCCTTTGTAATTCTTCGTGTTGATTCTATTTATACGAGATTTCAGTTCTTGCTTGTGATGCCTTGTTTTTTTGTACAGTTTTATGTACATGCAGGTGTAGCTTTTTCTAAAGGAGAAATCCTACAGCAGAGTAAAGAGTACCCAACTATTTTTGAATTGTGCCATTTGTTTAGATACTGCCTCTTTCTCTCTTGCTAAGGTTGTATTGCTCTCAATGTGATGCATATCCCTTGCACTGGGAAAGCTTTGGGCCTAGGGCTTAGTTCTCCCCTGGCACTGTGAGCACAATTGATTCCCTTGTAATCCTTTTTGTTTGGAGCCGTGAGCATGACACCTCGTGAGCCCATTTTGTTCTCTTCCATTTTGTTGGTTTGCTGAGCTGTCAGATGACAAACTCCACTGTAATTAGCCCTCCCAAAGCTTTACAATAAAAAATGTGAAAACCTTTTGGCTTGACCTAATTTCTTATCTCTGCAGATCAACTGAGATGTGTATTGGTTTACATGTATGTTGGTGTTCTTTTCTTTTCTGAAAGCCAAACTATATGGCATGGGATTCTTCTCCCCTCCCTCCTCCCATACTATGTCTCTGTGTGCGTGTGTGCGCTTGTGCACACATATGAGATAAATATACAATATACATCTCCAATATACGAGATGAATCAGCTTGGAATAGAATTAAATTCACACAAACAGGTTTCCTACAAATAAAGGCAATACAATATTTGTAATAGCATGTCTTGTAGCTACAGTATATGAAGTGAAAGTAGTATTTAATGAATTTTGTTATATCATAACCTCTTTGTTAGATGGAACATCCCTGTCATCTTTCAAGACCACATAAAACAGCCATATCCTTGTACAATACATAGATTACATTGTTGATGCTTAGAACAATCAAAGGAATTTGTGGTAGAGGCAAGTACCTCATTACTCATATTAGCCTTCATATTAGGTAGGTTAATGATCAGCACTGAGCACTGCAGGTACATATAGACACATAGACAGATAATAACAAAGCAGAATTACGATTGGAAGAATAAATTGTTCATTGTTCGGCATAAAACCACTTATCTGAGAATGGACCAAAAAGACTAAATGACTTCCAATGATTTTTTAAAATCATTCTAGTCAACAGTTCAATGTCATTGGGGCAATCTCTTCTATTAATATTATTAATTATTTCACTGCTTCTTTTCCCTGTGTGATAATGTGGGACTGAGTGAAAAAGTTTAGAGATTTTTGTTTATTATTTGCTAGAAAGAACATGTAGGAAATGCACAGGAGATAAAAGCAAGCAAAGCTATTGCCGGGCAAATAAAGGAAAAGAAGGATTATCAAAAAGAAATTGTTTCTTCTTTCAGGTGCAAAAAAAAGCACTAAATATGGAAATAAAAACAAAATAATTAAATTATTCAGAATATTACAGTTTTAGAATGTACTTTTTATTATTTAATATACTACTCTTGAAGTCAATTGTGGTTAAAAGCATTGAAATAATAACTCTGGGTAGAATCATACTTACAGATTTGGAAGGAACTTTAGAGATCATCTAGTCCAGTGATGGTGAATCTTTTAGCCTTCAAAAATTTGGAAAACACCTAACAACTGCCAGAATGTTACCCCTCCCGAAAAAAGAGAAAAAGTTCTTTTTCTCTCATCCCTGAACAGCAGCACTCAGTAGGAGGCATCAGAGCTGAGCCTGAAGTAGAGGCTCAGCTCTTGACTTTAGCCCTAACACCACTGCTCCCGTTCAAAAATGTTGCCTTTCAGTATTGTCTTGAGGCAAGGGTATATCACCCCCTCCTTCAAGGCAGGTAGGTCTATCCCTTCATTCAAGAATGAATTTACCACCATTTGTACCCAACCATATACCTTCTCCATGATAAAGTCAACCAATCAGGAAGGACAATACATGGATGTAATATACAGAATAGGTAGTTGTGCTGAAAATGCCAAGTCTCCTGTCCATTTCCTTGAGATTCATAGAATAACAACAACAACAACAATAATAATAAAGTTGGAAGGGACCTTGAAGGTCATCTAGTCCAACCCCCTGCTCAGGCAGCAAACCCTATACCATTTCGGACAAATGGCTGTCCAGTCTCTTCTTAAAAACTTCCAGTGTTGGAGCATTCACCGCTTCTGGAGACAGGTTGTTCCACTGGTTAATTGTTCTAACTGTCAGGAAGTTTCTCTTTAGTTCTAGGTTGCTTCTCTCCTTGATTAGTTTCCATCCGTTGCTTCTTGTCCTGCCTTCAGGCGCTTTGGAAAATAGCTTGACTCCCTCTTCTTCGTGGCAGCCCCTAAGATATTGGAACGCTACTATCATGTCCCCCCCCTTCTCTTCATTAAATTAGACATACCCAATTCCAGCAGCCATTTCTTGTATGCTTTAGCCTCCAGCCCCCTCATCATCTTTGTTGCTCTTCTCTGTACTCTTTCTAGAGTCTCAACATCTTTTTTACATTGTGGTAACCAAAACTGGATGCAGTATTCCAAGTGCAGCCTTACCAAGGCATTGTAAAGTGGTATTAATACTTCACATGATCTTGATTCTATCCTTCTGTTAATGCAGCCTAGCACTACGTTGGTCTTTTTGGCAGCTGCAGCACACTGCTGGCTCATATTTAAGTGATTGTCCACTAGGACTCTGAAGTCCCTCTCACAGTTACTACTATAGAGCAAGGTACCCCCTATACTATATCTGTACATTTGGTTTTCTTGCCTAAATGTAGAACCTTACTTTTTTCACCATTGAATTTCATTTGTTAGATAGTGCCCAGTGTTCAAGTCTGTCCAGATCCTCCTGTATCTTAAGCCTGTCTTCTAGAGTGTTGGCTATTCCTGCCAGCTTGGTGTCGTCTGCAAATTTGATGATTCCGTCGTCCAAATTGTTGATGAAGATGTTGAAGAGCACTGGGCCCAGAACAGAGCCCTGGGCACCCCACTACACACTTCCCTCCATGTAGATGCGGTTCCATTGAGGACTATATGCTGAGTATGGCTGGTCAGCCAGCTACGGATCCATCGGGTAGTGATGCTGTCTAACCCATATTTGTCTATATTTAGAATAGAATAGAATAGAATAGAATAGAATAGAATAGAATAGAATAGAATAGAATAGAATAGAATAGAATAGAATAGAATAGAGCTGGAAGGGACCATGGAGGTCTTCTAGTCTAGCCCCCGGCTCAAGCAGGAGAACCTATACCATCTCAGACAGGTGATTTTCCAGTCTCTTTTTAAAAAACTTCCAGCTATGGAGCACCCATGATTTCTGGGGGTAAGCTGTTCCACTGGTTGATTGTCCTCACTGTCACGAAGTTTCTCCTTAATTCCAGGTTGCATCTCTCTTTGATCAGCTTCCAACCATTGTTTCTCGTCCTTCCCTCTGGTGCTCTGGTGAACAACCTGACCCCTTCTTCTTTGTGGCAGCCCCTCAGATACTGGAATACTGGTATCATGTCTCCCCTATGTCTTCTTTTCTTTAGACTGGTCAAACCCAGGTTCTGCAGCCAATCTTCGTATGTTTTGGTCTCCAGGCCTTTGATCATCTTAGTTGGTCTTCTCTAAATTTTTTCCAGACTCTCAACATCTTTTTTGTTATATAGTGAACAAAATTGGCTACAGTATTCAAGGTATGGTCTTACTAGGGTTTTATAAAGCAGTACTAGAACTTCGTATGATTCTATGCCTCTGTTTATACAACCCAGGATTATATTAGTTTTTTTGGTTGCTGATGCACACTGCTGGCTCATAGTTAACTGATCGTCCACCAGGACTCCAAGGTCCCTCTCACAGTTACTGCCTTCAAGCCAGGTCTCGCCCAATCTGTATTTGTTCCTTTGATTTTCCCTGCCTAAATGTACGACTTTGCTTTTCTCCACATTGAAACTCATTTTGTTGGATAGGGTCCATTGTTCGAGTTTGTCAATATCTTTTTGGATCCTGAGTTTGCCTTCTGAGGTGTTGGCTATTCCTGTCAGTTTGGTATCATCTGCAAATTTGATGAGTTCCCCTTCAATTCCCTCATCTAAGTCATTTATGAAGATATTAAAGAGTACTGGGCCTAAGACGGAACCCTGTGGTACTCCACTGTTTACTTCTCTCCATGTGGATGCAGTGCCAGTGAGGACTACTCTTTGAGTATGGTTTGTCAGTATTCCACCTTTTTCTAGCTTCTAGGAGTAGGTTGTGGTCTACTTTGTCAAATGCCTTATTGAAATCTAGGTATGCTACATCCACTGTGTTTCGCTGATCTACTAGTTTAGTCACTTTATCGAAGAATGAGATTAGATTGTTCTGGCATATCTGTTTTTAACAAACCCATGCTGGCTGCTAATTATGACTTTTGTTTGCTTCTAGTTATTCACAGATCTGTTTTTTGATTATCTTTTCTAGGAACTTCCCAGGTATTGATATTAAACTGATAGCTCTGTAGTTTCCTAGGTCCGTTTTTTTCCCCCTTTCTTGAAGATGTGAACCACATCAGCCCTTTTCCAATCCTTGGGTACTTCCCCCGGTGCTCCAGGATTTGTGGAAGATGTGGTGCAATTGTTCTGAGATAACATCTGCCAGCTCTTTCAGAACTCTAGAATGTAATATGTCGGGTCCTGGTGATTTGTATTCGGCAAGATTGAATAGGTGTTCTCTTATCACTTTCTTGCCTATTTTGATTTTTGTTTCTAGTATGTCTTTTGCAATGGTTTTTTTTGGTGTGTTGGTCTATGGTTTCTTTTTGTGTGAAGACTGATGCAAAGTATGAGTTAAGCAGCTCAGCTTTCTCCCTGTTGTCTGTAATTTCCTTGCCATCTTCTCTCTTTTGTAGGCCTACAGTTTCCTTGACTTTTTTCTTGTTAATGTGTTGGAAGAAACCTTTTGTATTGTCCTTGATTTCTGTTGCAAGTCTTTGTGAATTCTGAGCTTTCGCTTTCCTGACTTCTTCTTTACATGTTCTGGCTGTCTGCTGATAATTGGCCTTGGTTATATGCCCCTGTTTCCATTTTTTGTATTTGTCCTTTTTATGTTTTAGTTTGTTAGTGAGATCTTTGTGCAGCCATGCTGGTTTCTTCCTGGATTTCTTGTGTTTCTTTCTCAATGATATTGTGCTGGCCTGGGCTTTTGTGATCATGTTTTTCAGGGTTTCCCACACTTCTTGAGTTGTTTTCCCCTTTAGGATTTTCATCCATGGGATCTTTCCTAGGTTCTCTTTGAACTTGTTAAAGTCAGCTTTTTGAAGTTTAGGACATTGGTTGGATTGTTTTCTATTGCTAGTGTTTGCATTATATTAAATTCCAGTATAACGTGGTCACTTTTACCCAAGGTTCTGGCATTTTTGATTCCCTCTACCACTTCTTCTCTATTTGTAAAGATTAAGTCCAGTATAGCTTTGAGTCTAGTTCCCTCCTCCACCTTTTGGGTGACAAAGTTGTCGGCTAGGTTGGTT